ATGTTAAGCTGCCAGACTGCCACAGAAATCTACTCAGCCCATAATGTGCGTGGCAGCAGGTCAGGTACCTGTGTTCTATGGGGGCCATTCTGCCACCAAGCTGCCACACAGCCCTGGGCAGCCCTGGTAAGGACAAAACTGGGCTCAAACGCTGCCTCACCTGCCTGTTATGTAATCTCACTGAAGCTATTCAAACCCTTTGAGTCTAAATTTCCACAGCAGTCAAATCATATTTGGGGATGAACCACATACACAAAGAGCACAAAAGGAGCCTACACAAAAATCACTGAAAGGACACTAAATTCTGCAAGGGCCAAATAATGTCAAAATGAGTGTGAAAGGAGGGAGCCCTGTGGCACGACTGGGAAGAGAAAAATACAAAATACCTGCCTTCTAACCGTGAGAGGAAGAAAGAGGGAGCAGAGGCCACAGGGAATAATGATCACCCTGGAGATAGTACAGAATGTATAATTTCCTTTAATAATGCAGTTTTTCATTTGGTTTCAAGACTTATCAAGTATCACTGAATTAACACCCATACATATAATATATGAATTGTATATATATAAATCATTTGCAAAGGCGTGGAAAAATGTCTCATGAGCCATGTGATCAGGAATAAAAAACTAAAACAAAATGCCAAAGATGCTGAGAAACCAAGTGCACCAGAGCCAGGAGATCCTGAACGCTCCTTAGGGCTCATCCAGAACAGATTCATCGAGCAGTGATGCTGACTCACGCTCCCATTGAGAGCTATGCAGCACATTTCAAGATAAAGAAAAGGAAGGATTGGGTGATCCTCAAGTAACTAGTTTCAATCCTAAACTATTAAAATGGGGTCTTTTTAATTTAACTTTGCTCTGATGTTAATTTCAGAAAGAAAAAGAACCATAAACAAAGGGGGTGGGTAAAGGATTACTGACTAAATACAATCAAACAATGTTTATGAAATCACAAGGTAAAATAGCATACCAATAAGCAGAGGCTATTTAACTACTCAGAAGGGTAAAGGGGTGGGGGAATGAGAGTTTGAAAGCAATTTTGAGGATTTCTGATACATATTGCAGTAGCAGGCAGAAATCAGGGCAGATCTTGCTTTTGCTCTCCTTTGCACACTAGTAGTGGAGAAGGAAATGGCAACCCACTCCAGTACTCTTGCCTAGAAAATCCTATGGATGGAGGCACCTGGGAGGCTACAGTCTATGGGGTCGCAAAGAATCAGACATGACTGAGCGACTTCAATTTCTTTCACTAGTAGAGGTTTGTGTAAAGTGGTGTGGCCACATCACTGCGGCTGTACCCTTGGCTTGACTTTCTGACCTTCCCTAGAGATCTTGCTTGGAGCACCTGTAAATACATACCCTTGGAGCACACTGCCCTAGGTGGTCAGAAACTTGCTTTCAAGCAGATCCTGTTGGTAATTCCCCTTTATGGAATTCTATGGTTTGTCAGAGGCAGTTGAAAAGATTTATGACTCTGGCTGCCTCTTTTCTGATAATAAAGTTCTTCAGGTTTCTGTTCGTTTATTTGCTGTTTGCTTTTAATAGCTTGACCATTTGGGGCTGCAACAGCATCATAATAGCTAAACTGCAGGTTGAAATAGTTTAAACTGTTCTCTCTTTCATTTCCTAATAACTCATCACAGTGATTTACTATTTAATAGTACCACTGACTGTTGGCCTTGTTCTATTATTTCTATGGCCCTAGGATCACACCCCATTTTTGAATGTTTTTCTTTTTCACTGTTAGAATACTTTCCACAAGAGGTCAAGGCAAGCATGACAATTAACTTTTGCATTTCTGAGCTGAAAACTACTAGGCTGTTCTTCCAGAAGTTTCACCTTGCATTCTCAGTTTAAGGGGCTCCCCTCCCCCTGCATCTTAGGAAGAAAGCACAGGTAACTCTGAGCAGGTTGTTCATGAACCACAGTCACCTTTACTGTTGATATCAGTTTGGATGCAGCCTGAGAAGGCGCTACAGCTTGTGGAATCACTATTTAGAGCATCCGTTGGCAAAAGGAAAAAAAGAATCTTGACCTAAAGTCACATCTTATACAAAAATTAACTCAAGATGGATAGCCAACCTAAGTATGAAACATAATACTATAAAATGTTTGGGGAAAAAATGACAGAAAATCTTCAGGACCCAGGGCTGAGCAAAGAGTTGTTAGACTTAATGCCAAAAGCACAATCCATAATAGGAAAACCTAGTAAATTGAATCATTAACGTTAAAATTGACAACTTTTGCTTTGCAAAAGACTCTGTTAAGAAGCTGAAAAGAAAAGCCACACAATGAAAGAAAATACTGGCAAACTATCAAAGGACTAGTATCTAGAAAGTATAAAGAACTCGAAGCACTAAATAATAAGAAAACAATCCAGTTAGAATGTAGACAAAAGACATTGTGATGAAGAAGATGGACAGATGGCTAAAATCACATGAAAAGACATTGTATCTCATTAGTCACTAAAGAAATGCAAATTAAAATCACAATGAGATATCACTACATACCTCTCAGAATGGTTCAAACAAAAAAAGAGTGAGAATACCAAAAGATGAGAATCCTCATCCTGCTGATGAGGATGCCAAGAAACTGGATCATTTACACACTGCAGATAGGAAGGAATGGAAAATGGTATAGCCACTCTGAAAAAAGAGTATGGTAATTTATAAAATTAAATGCACTTATCATTTGACTCAGCCACTCCACTGAGCATTCATTTCAAATAAATTAAAACTGATACTCACAAAAAGAGGTTTTTTTACACAAATGATCCTAGCTTTATTTGTAATAGTTCCAAACTAGAAACAACCCAAATGTCCTTCAATGGGTGAATGGTTAAAAAATTGTAATACATCATGGAATACTACTCAGCAATAAAAAGGAAAAAATATTACATAATACAAGCAACATCTTGGGCAGATCTCAAGTGCTGTGATCTGAATGTTTGTGTATCCCCAAAATTCGTATGTTGAAACCTAGTGCCCAATGTGATGGTATTTATTAGGAGACAGAGGCCTTTTGGATGTGACTAGGTTATGAGGGCAGAACTCTCATGAACTGCTGCTGCCCTTATATAAGAAGCCTGAGAAAGCTCCTTGCCTCTTTTACCACATGGAAATCACAGTGAGAAGACAGACATGATGGCTCCCTGATCTTGGACTTCCAGCCTCCAGAACTGTGAGAAACAGTTTTTGTTGTTTATAAGCCGTTCAGTATGTGATATTTTTGTTACAGCAGTCCAAATAGACTAAGATATCAAGGGGATTGAACTGGGTTTAAATAAACCAATCTCAGAAGGTTAGCTATTGTATGATTCCATTCATATATCTTTGAAATGACAAATTATAGAGATGGAGAACAGCAGTGGTTGTCAGGAGGGATGGGCAGAAGGAAGAAGGTGAATATGGCTTCCAAAGGGTAGCACACGAAACTTTTTTGAAGGAACTGTTCTATATCTTGATTGTGATGGTGGCCGCACAAATTTACATGTAATAAAACTGAACAGGACTAAACACATGCATGTTCACCCATACAAAAATGAATGCTTGTAAACCCTTGTGAAATCTGAATAAGGTTAGAAGACTGTATCAATGTCAATTTCCTAGTTGTGACAGTTATTATACAATAGTCACATAAGGTGGGAAACTGGATGAAGGGTGGAAGACATCATTCTATTATTTTTTAGAGCTACATGTGAATCTAAAATTATCTCAAATATTTAAAAAATCACTATATTGTTGTGTTTATTCTAAGTGTCCTGCCTTTCTATGGTTCACCCATTAGATGGCTGATTTCTTTCTTCCCTAAACAACCTTGCTACTCTCTAGGGTCCTAACAGTGGAAAACAATTCACTAAAATTGGTAGTTTAATTCTTGCTTTCCGAAAATTCTTATTCATAGTTTAGTATTACTAAGTGAAACATGTCCCCTGGATATAAACCTATATTTGAATACTGACTCTTACACTACATGAAATGGACAAAATACTTACTTTCTGAGTTACCTCATTAATAAATTGGAGTAAAACCTATTTCATAAGTCTATTGTGAAGCTAAATAAAATAATAAGTAAAGTACTTGGCACAGAGTAGATCCTTAAATGCTCATTCCCCTCATCCTCCCATTAACAATCTATCCAGACATAAACATATCAACAAAAAGTTTGGTTTTCAGTTCCCAAGATGTTTATTTGGAAAACAGGAGATGCATCTTCAACAAGCATGCTAAGAGTTGGGGATGCGGTGAGGCTGAATTGGTTCTTAAGAAATATTTTGGTTTAGGAGATTATAATCATCATTTTAAACCCAAGTTCTCACTCTGAGCTTGAAAACAGTCCAACCATCAAAATGGCTTATAAATGTTTTAATGTGCCTTTCATGTTATTATGAATAGTGACTGGCTGCCATATAGATGTTTAAATCTATCAATAACAACCAATCATACAGTAGATTGTTTCCATTCAGATACCAACATATGTGTATATGTTGGATGAGTTCAAGCTTTAAAAATGACAAGCACTACAATGGTATAATTTCATCCATTCTATTTACCTACAAAAATACTTTTTAGTAATAGACACCCCACAAGGTAATAAACTTTATGTATGTCATAGGTTTTTAGTCATAGCTCAACTAATGAAGCTAAAGAGCAGTAGGAAATAAGTACTTAGGATTTAAAATGCAATGTAGCTTGCTAAACACAGGATTCTGAGCAGTCTGCAGTGTGATGCATACAGACAGCTAGACTCTCTGAGCACTGGCCTGAGAGAATTGTCAAAGATAAAAATAGAAGAACCAAATGTTATTTCTCTAGTAAAAATAAGAAAGAGATGAAACAGAGTCCATCTAATTGCTCCTGGTTATGTGCTCTCTTTAGAAACAGTCACAAATCAAAAAAAAAAAAAAAAAAAAAAAAGCCAAACATCCTTAATACTTAAGGACAAAGTCCCCTCAAACATTTTTCAATACTGGTATAAATTTGCCAAACAAATGCTTACCGAGCAAAATAACTTTGTTTCCGTTCCTTCTTCTCTTCCTTGGTATCCATAACATGCGATCAAAAGTGCAAAATATTTGGAAAATTCCTTTTTAATCAATGAGTCATAACCCTGGTAAAAAAAAAACAAAAAACAAAAAATAGAGTGACTGTAAATTAACAAGTTCATAATGGCCAATACGAAGAAAGAAGCAAAACAGAGCTACACGGCCCCAACAAATAGAAGCTAAACTTTAACCAGTGAGTAGAGTCACATGAGTCATATATGAAATACAAGTGCCCCTGCAGGAAGTGGGGGGCAGGAAACTATAATTAGAACTGAGGTGTTAAAACTAACAAAATGAAAAGTAGCTAGAAAAATAAATTGAAGTATTTTCCTCATAATTAACAATTATTTCAAAGTGTGCTAAAGCAAAAACTGCTGACTTTAGAAGATTTTAGGTTTGCTATGCAGAAGCTAATTTTTAAAAAAATCTTTGAATTCATAATCACTATTTTCAAGCCATTAATGATGAATATGTCTCATCCACAATGATGAAAAAAATGGATCACTTGGGTGTTTTACAAGAATGTTCTTCCTTTAAAAATAAAAATAACATCAGCATTCTATTTTATTTTGGAAACATGTCAGCAAGTATCAATACATCTCACTCGAGCAAATGTGGAAATGAAAGCACAAAGCCTTGGGAAGCTATCCCTCAGAAAGGTTTTATCTGCTTGCCTCTACCTCACTATCTCACCCGTGCAACTCTCACCTCTGCTTCCCAGGAGTAACCTGGTTTAAACCTATAATAAGAGGTTGTCTCCAGATCAGTCTTCCTTAAATACCACTCTCATCATGCCATGCCCCTGCTCAAAAATCCCCAGTCTACTTACTGCCTGGAGCACTAATCTAAATTTTCTGCATAGCATTCGCCTTTCCTAAAATCTTGCCTTTTCACCCTGAATGAGTCTCAAAGTAAAAAAAAAAGAAAATTTCATCAATCAAAATTATTTACTAATTTATTTCAACTCCATAAACAATGTAATTCACAATCCCTATTACAGGGAAGGTACTGTGATAAATGAGTGAAATGAATGAGTGAAACTCGCTCAGTTGTGTCCAACTCTTTGCGACTCCAAGGACTGTAGCCCACCAGGTTCCTCCATCCATGGGGTTCTTCAGACAAGAATACTGGAGTGGGTTGCCATTTCCTTCTCCAGGGGAATCTTCTCCACCTAGGGATGGAACCCGGGTCTCCTGCATTGTAGGCAGATTCTTTATTGTCTGAGCTACCAGGGAAGCCCCACTTCGATAAGTATCAGAGACCAAAGATAAATAAGACATGGAAAGGAAACAAAAGTTAGTCACACAGTCGTGTCTGACTCTCTGAGATCCCATGGACTGTAGCCTGCCAGGTCCTCTGTCCATGGGATTCTCCAGGCAAGAATACTGGAGTGGGTTGCTACTCCCTTCTCCAGGGGATCTTCCTGACCCAGGGATCAAACCTGGGTCTCCTGCATTGCAGGCAGACGCTTTAACTTCGGAGCCACCAGGGAAGCCCCACAAGACAGGAGACTTGCCCTAATCGTGTTCACTGTCTCGCAAGGGAGACACTTAGGATCTCAGCTCTGTGGGATACAAACAGCTGTGGAGAAGAAACAGACCCCAAAGGAAGAAGACTGAGGCTTCCACAGGGCCCACCCTCCTGCAGCCCCCACACACACCAAGATCTGAAGGATGAGCGCGGGTTCCCAGTTACAGGGCACGGGAAGCAGGTCTGGCTGAACAAAAGCGACGTGTAGACACAGTCTCTCTCTGCTGCTCCAGGATCAAACGTGAAGCAGGAGAGCGGTGGGAGCTGAGGATGAAGACATGGACAGGATTCGGGTCGTGAGGACCTCTCAGGTCATGCGAAGAGCTGGAACTGCGTCCTCGCTGCCCACTAGGCGCTGCCTCCGCTCCCCGGCACCTTCCAGCACCATGACACCAAAGGTTCAGGCTGACCCCACAGCCGCCCTCCCAACAGACCTCGCCACGGGGAGGGAGGGCGTGTAACACCCACCGGGTGCAGAGGATGGACTTCAGAAGACTGACAAGAGGGCAAACAGACTCTGCCCTATCACAGTGGACTTCCCTAGCGGTCCAGTGGTTAAGAATCTGCCTGCCAATGCAGGGGACACAGGTTTGATCCCTGGTCCTGGAAGATTCCACTTGCTATAGGGCAACTAAGCCCGTGCATCACGACTACTGAAGCCAGAACACCCTAGAACCTGTGTTTTGAAACAAGAGCAGCCACGGCAATGAGAAGCCCGCACACAGCCATGAAGAGTAGCCCCTGCGTGCTGCAACTAGAGAGAGCCCACACACAGCAATGAAGACCCAGCACAGCCATAAATAAATTTTAAAGATGATAATAATACATGATTTTTTAAAAGAAGATATCACAGTCTAACTAGTTGAGAGAAGGACCACACTTAGGCCAACAGTATTTACACAGAAAGAGTAGGCATGGGTTCAGGACATATTTAGGAGGCAAATGAGTCCAAGTTTGGTGACGCACTCCACAAAGACAACACGGGAAGGGAAGGGATGATGGATGCCTTCCAAGTTTCTGCCTCAGGGGCTGGACAGACTGTGATACCACAGATAAGATATGATCTACAGGAAAAGGGCAGGCACTTGGCGGGGTGCAGAAGCAGAAACAGATGAAAGATCAGTTTTGGGCACACTGCCTGTGAAGACCCACGGGACTGTCAGCTGGAGACATTCACCAGATGTTATATTTCATAAAGCACAGGAGTGCAGAGAGGGCTAGAGAAAAAGATTGAGAAATTAACAGCATATGGTTGTACTTGAGGAAAAGGAAAACAATATGATGATAACGCCCTGCACATACAACTATGCACAAGGCCCTGTACGGAAACAGTGAAGGACACGGGCTCAACTCTCACTAGTTTATCTCTGAAGCCCTGACGTGGGGCTGCCCTCAAGGGATTGACCAACCAGTAGGAAAAAATAAGATGTGTGCCCATAACTAAAATGGAGAGTTAGTAACTTAGAGCTGTCCAAAATAACATGAAGAATCCAAAAGACACAAAGTTCAACTTGGAGGTAACGAAGTAAACCTTTCAGGATGGTGAGGATTTCAACAGGTAAAGAGGGAAAAGAGAAAGGAGTTCAGGAACAGAGAACAGCCAAGCATGAAGTCTGGACATGGAAGGGCAGAGTGGCAAGGGCAGGGAAAGAAAACCACCTTTCCTTTCCACAAGTCATCATTTCAATGTTTCCCACATGTTCTCTCTTTTCATCCCTACACCACATTATGAGTAAGGCATCCTTACTTCCAGTAAACTGAGACTGAGAGATGCTAATTTCCTTAGGTCAACCCTCCCAGCCTTGGTGGAGCAGAGATTTAGATCCAGTTTGGTGTACCTTTCCGTGCCTTTTGATAACCTGTGAGGCCAGAAAGCATTTGGAGATGAGTTAGGGAAAGTGGTCTGGAATCAGCAGCATCTAATGCCTCAGCTCTTCAGGTTAAGACAAATGTACCCAACACAGTGGAGGGGCAGCGGGTCAGTGAACCCTCCAACAGGACGGCCTCGGTGGAAAAGACCCTGATGCTGGGAAAGACTGATGACAGGAGGAAAAGAAGGCGACAGAGGATAAGATGGTTGGATGGCATCACCAACTCGATGGACATGAGTTTGAGCAAACTCCGGGAGACGGTGAAGGACAGGGAAGCCTGGCGTGCTGCAGTCCATGGGGTTGCAAAGTCAGACACGACTGAGCAAACAAACAGCAAGGTGGAGGGTGGGGGTGGAAGCCACGCCTTCACGAACCAGGACAGTACTCATTCGAAAATCTGGGGAGCAAAAGATGAAAACGACAGTAGCCAAGTGTCCAACCCTCATCACCTCCATTTCACATGTGGCCTGAACCCACGGAGCTCCTCACCAGCTCTCTACCTTCATCCTTACTGTTCTCCAAGCTTAAGGTAATCTTGCTATACTTCTTCTTCCCCTGACCGGATCCAGCACAAGATTCAGTCGTGCTTCCCTGGCCACTTGTGTGCCCTTCTCTCTCTGCCTTATAAGCGCACTTCACTTGTCACTTATCACTTACTGTGAGGCACTTGACCCTACACGGCGTGACAACGCCACTTCACTTAGCCTCCGCAGCCCCAGACGACCAAGGTTCCCTCAAGTCAAAAACCATCATGTTTCACACTCTGCTTATACTTCCCTAAATACCTAACACAGAACTAGGCAGAAAAACCACATGCAAGCTAAGCAAGGAATTAATCCAATCCTGGGGATAAGATTAATGACATGGTAGACAAACATCAATCCAAAGATTCCTCCCAAAGTAACAGTTATTTGGGGACTTCCCTGGTGGTCCAGTGGTTAAGATTCTGTGCCTCCACTGCAGGGGGCATGGGTTCAACCCCTGCTTAGTTTGGCAAATACACACACACACACACACAAACACACACACACATATATATATACACGTATAAAATTATTATTTGGAAATGGGGACTGTAGGTTCAAGCCAGCCCCTCTGGAACTCCAGAAAGAATTAGAACCCTGGCTCTCTGCCCTGCCCTAGGCCAGGTAGTTTATTTTAAAGTCTCGCTTCTGCATGCCATCATATGTGATGATCTCTATTTATTAGATTTCCCCTCATGAATAAAAATGAAGCCATAACTACCTAATTGGAAAATTTTTATATTGCAAGCTGAGCCAGAACTAATATTTGGTTCTAGTGGAAAAATATTGACAAAAATAAACACAAGGGAAAAAAAAAGATTAAATGATCCAAGAACTGACATCTGGTGCTGCTGTGTCTGTTTAGAACTAAAGGAGTTCTTTTTCCATTTTCTATTCAACAGATAAAAAAATCCAAATCTTCCATTTCTTTTAAATTTCTGGGAACTGATCTATTTCTTAAACCAGATGGATGCAGCCCTTTCAGGTACGGACACACCAACAGATTAACCAGGAAGAGATCAGCAAAGAATGCCATAAAAATGATTTGCACAGAGCACCACCCAGCAGTCTTCATGCTT